ATGAATTGATTAATTGAAGATATACATATTACATTTTTTCTTTCCTATTTTGTTTCTTTTTATTGTTTTTTTTCTATTTTATGATTCATGTAAGGGTTATTTATACACATATTTCATATCAATAATATCATTATCCTGAATTCTAAAAATCAACATGGTATCAGAGCTTTGAAGCGAACCTTAGTCTCCTGTCGCCAAAAACCTCATATTCCTTGTAGCTGACAATCTTTGTATTGTTGCCTAGCCACAGACATCTTCCCTTAAGGTTTCTTTTTTTTTTTTTTTTTTTTTTTTTTTTGTCGTTGTCGGCCCCATCTTCTTTCCTGTTGATTCTCTTACCAATTCCCAGTAGTCTTTTCTGTTTTCGTTCAACTGTCGGCTTCCCTGCAAGTTTTTCTTCAGCCGCGCTCCTGAAGGTTCAGCCACTAGTCCTTCCAGCAATTGTTCCCTTCCAGACGTCATCTTCTAGTTCACAGCCAATTGTCTTCTCATCCGATTAATCTCTACCAATGTTTTCACCGCCAAATTTCACAAATGGAAGTGCTCCAATTCTTTTACAGCCTAAGTTTGTTGTAGAAGAGACTATTGAATCACCTTATGTCCTCTTCTCAGCTTATAAGGTTTTAAAATGTAAAAAAGCAAAGAAATGTATCAAGCTTGGGATTTGGAGCTTTGGTGTCTTCTGGGAGGGAAATGACCCCTCACCCTCAAGTTGTTCATGTGACGCTCATCTTTGCCAGAATTGCAGCGCTTATCCAAACCTTAATTTAGAAGCTAAATCGGTTATGGTCATGCAGAAATATGTAATATGTAAGAAATTAAACAACAACGACAGTGAATACATTGTTGTGAGCAAGGATGACCTCCATCACTGGTCGAAACTATCTTCTTTCACTATCGATTATGTTCAGTCTGGAAACTGAAGGCCTGAATACATTCCAGATTCATACTTGAGAATGTCCGCTCCTATATTTCTCGTCATCGATGAGGGCTAGCTTCCGTTTGTTATAGGTGTTATTCCATATGCTGGCCTTCTTCTGTCCTCCTTTACCGCCAGAAATTGCCTTGCAGCCGGCCCTCCTATGGAATTCTCTCTGCAGCAGGCCTTCCAGAACTTTTTCTACAACAGGCCTTCTCTAGAACTTTTTTCTGCAGCAAGCTTTCCTTCGGAGTTTTTTTATGTATCAGGCCCTCCTCCAGTGGTTTTCCTGCAACAGATCCTTCACCGAAATTCTTCCTGCAGTAGGCTCTCCTCCAAAGTCTTTTCTTGCATCAGACCCTCTGAAGCTTTTTTCCTAACAAGCCCACCAGAATTCTTCCTGCAGCAGACTCTCCTCCGGTGTCTTTTCCTGCATCAGGCCCTCCTCTAAATTTTTTTTCCTGTATCAGGTCCTTCTTAGCTATTTCTACAGCAGGTCCTCCTTTGGGGCCTTTTCCTACAACAAACCCTCTCTAAAGCCTTTTCGTGCAGCACGCTCTCTTCTGGAGCCTTTCCTTGTATTAGGCCCCCTTTCGAAATTTTTTCCTGCATCAGACCCTTCTCTGAAATCTTTCCTGCAACAGACCCTTCTCTATAACTTTTCCTATAATAGGCCCTCCCCCGGGGTTTTTTTTCTGTATCAGACCCTCCTCTGAAGCTTTTCTTCTAGCAAAGTCTACCTCATGAGCTTTTCCTTTTTCTGCGGGTCATACCCTTGCAACTTTTCTTGTTGGTTGTATACTTCCCTGCAACAATACTCGTAGAAGTCTTCTGCATACCTACAGACACTTCAGAAAATGCAATCAAAGACAACTGCAGTCAACTAAATACTCTTGGGGTTGATTATTAAGTACGGGATGGAGACTTCAAGTTCCATCTCACAAAGAATTTTTCTGCCCATTGTTTGATGTTTTCAATTTTAAGTTGAGCATGTTTTTCAATCATGTTTCAACTTGAGGGAGAGTTTTAAAAGTTCTATAGGAAATATTAGAAGTTATGAATGTTAAACTTATTTTCTTTGATTAGAGTTATTGCCTTATTTTATGTTTTATATTGTTTCTTTTATCTCAAAGTAATTAATAGGAATTGATTAATTGGAGATATATGTATTATATATTTCATTTTATGTTATTTCTTTTTTTGTTGTCTTTCTTATTCTAGGATTCATGTAAATGTTATTTATACTCTTATTTCATATCAATAATATTATTCCACTGAATTCTAAAAATCAACACTATGATTAGTCACAAAAAGGTTCACTCAAACTTATTAAATTGATTATCCAGCAAATTTTTGCCTCAATTACTAAGATGAGTGATATTTGAGAGTTTTTTTTCTCTAAATTTAGTTTGGCACATCATTGACTAAGTAAAAAAATTATCTTTTTAAATGGGAACTTAGGAGATGAAATTTATATGATAACCTCTTACAAAGTTGCGACTAAGTTTGCTTGAGTAATTTTCATATGGCTTAAAATAATTACTAAGATTCTGGTTCAATTAATTTACTATGATGATTAAAAGATATGAGTACTCTCAAGGGCATTCTAATAATTTACATTTACAGAGACATCATCTAATGATAAAATTATCATCTTGATTGTATATGTTGATGATGCACCTTAACGAAATAATGAATAAGAGATAATAAGCTGAAGGACATCTTAACTTAATAATTTGAAATCAATGGTCATGATTCATTACCAGACATGGAAATAACAAGATCAAGTAGGAGATATATGTTTTCAACAAATTCATCCATAGATTACTTGATAATTCTCTTCTTATATATTCACCATATTGATTTTACTTTCTAATCTTAGGCCACTAATTGAGTGTGTTGTATAGTCTATACAATTAGTACCTCTTGTAGCTAGTAGAATGAGAAATGCTATATTATTCTTTTCTTACTATATATATATTATATATATATATATATATATATATATATATATATATATAGATATATACATTTATATGAAGGATTGAAGGAGGTTGAAGGAATTGAAATAGAGAGGAAAGCTGGAAAATAATGAGATAAAAAGGAGAAGAAAAACACACTAATTTCATTTTTTATGAGTTCGAGGTATCATTTCAATGCAATAGCTTGATGAAATTATGAATATGTTTAGTCACACATTAGCCTTTCCATGTGTGAGGGAGAGCCTCAAATGTAGGAGCCGGAAAGAAAAATTAGAACTTCCACCCTTCAAATCTTCTTCATCGATCAACTTTGGCCTTTGAGGGAGGGAGGAAAATACTTTTCTAGATCTTCCTTAAATCATGGAGCTGATGGAGCAGAACTTTCTGCAGTCATCCTTCGTCTTCGCAGCCAAGCATTTTATCTATAATATTCTCAAAAACCAGTTCTACTTCCTTCCATGACCGGCTTGTTGGTGCCAATCGCTTGGCACCGGCGAAGCTCAAGAGTGACTATTTTAATTTATCTTAATTTTGAAATAAGAGTTTTTTTTTTTTTTTTTTTTTTTTTTTTGTGTATTCCATTTCTTTAATAATAGCATATAATAAAATTGACTCCAATGTCAGGCTTTTTCATCACACCCATTCTCATAAATATTGGCTTCTAGTTCGATAGAGGATAAATTTTAATATTAACATTTTGTTGATTTTGTTGAGATTTGACGAGATAAAAGAAGTCATCATGGAGTTAAATATGCTTTTGCTTAGCTGGATCCAATTCTTTATTTCTTCAATTATTTTTTTAGAGGAATAGATTTATTTGTACATAATTTTTAGCATGGATGATATTGATAAAGAGAAAATGTTTTTGTCTTTCTTTATTATTTGAGCTTTCATGATGCCTATATATCTTAGTGAATTTTAAGACCTTAATGACATAGTGAAATCCATCCATCATATTGATTGATTGGACAATTGTTGATGGGAGATCAGCATCATATTTTCTGCAAGTAGTAGCGTTTGACATGACTACTATCATGTTGTGCGATACTTTTGATATTGCTTTTTATTAGATAATTTTTTTATTAATGGCAGAGCATTAAAATTTTTAATATGGTTAAAAAGTTATATTTATAGACCCGGAAGATGTATTTTAGCCTTTATCAATAATTTTTTTTATATGATTAACATTTAGATATAATTAGCTCCACGATGGACATTCATGGTTATTATCTATTAGATGAAGAGAGAAACAATCTAAGTCTTTTGATTTATAAAGTTGATGTACATATGAACTTGTCGTAAGAGGTGAGTGGCGATTGATGTTATTGACAGCAGCCGAGAGTGGTCGGCGGCGATCGACGGCTAGTGATCAACGGCGATCGACGAGTGATGGTCGACGATGGTCGGCTGTGTCGACGGCTGTAAGTGTGATGCTGGATTGCAGTTAATTCACCAAGCTTCAAGCTCTCCTCCCCTTTGATGAAAAAGGTATGGCTCTATTTTAGAATCCCATATGCAATTATTATTAATGAAGGAATAAGAATCATTCATTCTCATCAGACTGTTCCGTAGAGATTCTCTCGATCGGACAGTTTTTTTTATGGACATGTGAATGCCTTAACGATATCAGAATTAAGTGATTTTGGACTCATTGGATTGGTCTTGTCGAAACGTTTGACTCGATTATGAACTCGTCTGATTCAGAGTCTGTTTGATCTTTCAAATATGTTTAGAAAGTTTCTAAAGAGGTTTAATGTCTTTATCTGAACTTGATTTGACTCGAATTAGACAAATTTTGATATCGTTAGGCCCAACTTATCGAGCCGGTCAATTTGACAGTAAGTTTGTTGAAATCGAACTTTTGGATGACTTTATCAAAGTTTAAAATTTATTATTTAAAAGATTGCTTTCAAATTCTCAATTATTTGAATGCGTCAAACATAAATATATCAGTTAAGTGCCAAAATAATCTCCAACTACTTTAAAATTGAACTCTAATAGTTCACTACAAGAAATATTTCAGCCCCCAATTTGAAGAGCTTAGGATTATTTTAACACTTTTATAAACTCTGAGACTAAAATAACCTCATACAAATAATTAGGGCAGTTTTATCTAAAATTTTAAGAAAATTAAAAAGCAAAAAACGATGTAGGAAATATTCATATCGCTCCAAGGAGAGGTAAATTCAATTCAATGATTGCCAAGCATTGATTATCATTGTCATGCAGATGATAACCAATTCGTCAATAATCACTCACCTCACTCCAACAAAAATGTCAAAGCTTTGGCATCCAAAATCTATCAATAAGAAATCCTGAGACATACATCTTTCTCAAACTGTGTTCTTTGAAGATGACTTGTTTAATTGATATGACATGATTTCCAAAGCCTCCATTTTCTTCCCAGCAACATTAAGTGCAGTAGCAGCAATATGGGAGGGTGTCAGACCTGCCTCACACAATTGATCACCAGGCGATCCATGCTCTATATATCGATCCGGAAGAACCAATGGCCTCCACTGCACTCATACATACAGCCAAATTCAAAATCATTTTCATTTATTCATCTTTTTTGACTGGTGTGCAAGGCCCATAAAGATTTTACCTTTGTTGTGCCATCCAGAAGGCCGTCAAGAGCCATGAACTGAGCAACATGTGAGCCAAAGCCACCAATTGATCCTTCTTCAACTGTTATCAAAACCTGGTGTGATTTTGCGAGGCTGCGAATCAGAGCTTGGTCCAGCGGTTTGCAGAAGCGGGCATCTGCTACGGTTAGCTTTAGGCCATGGTGTTCCACAAGACGAGCAGCAGCTAAACAACTTTGAACTGCTGTTCCATATCCTAGAAGAGCTACAGCCTCACCCTCCCTCAAAATCCTACCTTTACCAACCTGTCATTGCCAGTACAAATTTGTTCAATCAACTTCAAATGGTTCCGAAGTGCTGCATCAAATAGTTTTTTGGTACATTTGTGGAGGGCTTCAATGGGTTTGGCAAAAATGTATAAATCATTATTTCTTGGAAATCTTGCGAAGGGAATTATAATTTCATAACCCAAGAAGAGCACACTACAAACTTGGGGTAATTCAAAAAAATTGAACTTGTGTCCGGCTTTAGTCTGCTCAATTCAAAAACATTCCAATAAAAAATATGCTCATGTATTACTCACCAAGGATATATAATCAAAACCAACAATGCAAATAATATAAAATCCTTAAAACTGAAAAAAAAAAGAGAAAGGGAATGCGATCAAAGATCACCAGTACTAAAAAAAGGTTTGGTATGCAGAATGGGTGATCAACAGAGTTAGGAAACCCATTTGGTTGCACCTAAAAGAAAAACATAAATTATGATGAATCATCATAGTGTTACCCAGATGTCAAATAGTCCAAAGAGCCATAGCATCATAGTCCGATCGCACTAAAAATAAAGCGATATTCTAATGAAGTCAGTATGTCATTCCTGAGGAGAATAAATGTGGAGAAAAGGTAATTGGATCTAATTTTAGAGGTCCCTAGCTTGCAAAAGGTACCAACAAAATAATATTTTCTAAATTAACTCAGAGAGAGGAGAAAGCAGAAACCTGTTGAAACAAAAAACTCAAAAACTATTGAATTTGTTGCACAAAGACAACAGAGTAGTGTCATCCAGAGTTCCAGATAATCAAAAGGAGTGTTAGAATATTGGAATATAAATATGCAGAATTTTGTATTAATTGGTTTGATTTGCTTTTACTTACTTTCCTTTTTTCCTTTATTCTATTTTTATTAGTTTCCTTACTAGTAGATACTGTAATGGGTATTTATATCCCTCTTTGCATCAATCAGATTACCTTGGTTCTATTGTAACATGGTATCAGAGTCATGGTCCTAAACTAGCTGCCGTCTGGCCTCTCCTTACTGCCGGCTGGCCAGTCCAAGTCCCTTCTACTTGTCGGAACCCCTCTGCTAGGACTGCTAGGTCCCTTTGGCCGCCCCTTCTCTTTAGTTGGCTAGGACTGCTTCAGGATCTGCCAGATCACCTCCCAGCCAACCCGTCTGCTTCTTGTGATTGACCCGCCCCAAATCAGGCCGCCCCAAATCAGGCCGCCCCAATCTGGCCGCCCTTGATTCCCCAACTGCCAAATTACCTCCTAGCCAGCCGATTACCATCCAGAACCTTTGTCCTGATCTTCTGGTCCACCTTCCAGCCGTCGGAAACCCTGACTAACTGACTGGCTTCCCTCTAGTTTCAGTTGGAACTTTACGATGTCTCAATAGCCTAACAACTCATTTGGCTCAATCAGAGTCACAACCAACTCCTCTAGCACTGAGTCGTCTCCAGAAGATGTTCTTGATTCTACCGGAGGATCAATTACAACCTTCGTTCCTCTGCAGACCAGAGGACAGAAAAATAATATGAACTTCTTGATTACAACCCATAAACTAAACGATGATAACTTTCTCAAATGGTCCCAATTTGTGTCTTTGTTCATCAGATGGCGTGGGAAATTCGATCATCTCAATGGTGTGATTCGTGAACCTCCAAAGACAAACCCAACATATAGAAATTGGGAAGCGGAGAATTTCATGGTCATGTCGTGATTGATCAACTCCATGAATATTGTGATTGGTCAATCATACATGTTCCTGTAGTGCCCTCTGGACGACAGTCAGTGATACCTACTCAGATGTAGGGAATTCCAGCCAACTATATGAAGTATTTAAGAAAGTTTGTGAGGCAGAACAAGGATCGAAGACTGTGGCCCAGTACTACAATGATATAATTGCATTATGGATGAAATGTGACCTATATTATGACTATACTTGGGAATCTTCGGTCGACTTCTCTCTTCCAGAAAATTGTAGAAAAAAACCGCATGCTCTAATTTTTGGCAGTCGTCAACAAAGATCTGGACGTAGTCCAGGGCCGTATCCTGGCTGAGCTCCTCTTCATTCTACTAGCATTGCTTTCACTAAGATACACCGCGAAGAGAATCGGAGACTTGTCATGCTTGGTGTATCCACTCCATCTACTGAAGTATCCGCCTTGGTCCCTAATAGTGCTCAACCCCGGGTTGATCACCCCACTTGCGATTACTGTCACAAGTCTAACCATACTCATGATAAATGTTGAAAGCTCCACACGAAACCTGCATCCAAACCTTCGGACAAATCTTCAACTACCAAAGGTCTCGCTACAACTTCTGAATCCAACAAAGTACAACAGGCCTCTATCCAGAATAATCCAGAATCCTCGAATTCTAATAAAAGCCAAATAGAGGACTTAATCAAGCTGCTTGGATCCAATACGCTCGCTTCTGGCCTGTCAACCTCCCACGTTCGTCAAAGTAACAAGTAGGGGTGCAAGTGAGTTAAGTTGACTCGTGAGCCAGCTCGAGCTCGGCTCAATAAGTGGCTCGTGAACCGAACTCGATGAGCTAACAAGCCAAGCTCAAGTCAACCCCGACTCGACTCGTTAGTTCGTGAGTCAGCTCGTTTAAAAAAATATTTACATAAAATACACTCAAAATATATTAAATTTCAAAATTTTATCTTTAAGGCATTAAAAATATTAACAAAATAATATTACTTATTGTATATTAGGTAATTTCTTAATATTTATCTCCTAATTATTCATTATATTTATCAACTTATTATAAAGTTATTTAAAATTAATATCATTTTCTGTCTTTCATATTAAAAAAGTCGGCTCGCGAGCCAGCTCAAACTCATAGACTTAAGCTAGAGCTCGAGCTCGAGCTCGATAAAATTAATTAAGCTCAAGCTCAAGCTTGAGGCTCAATAAGTGGCTCGTGAACCGAACTCGATGAGCTAACAAGCCAAGCTCAAGTCAACCCCGACTCGACTCGTTAGTTCGTGAGTCAGCTCGTTTAAAAAAATATTTACATAAAATACACTCAAAATATATTAAATTTCAAAATTTTATCTTTAAGGCATTAAAAATATTAACAAAATAATATTATTTATTGTATATTAGGTGATTTCTTAATATTTATCTCCTAATTATTCATTATATTTATCAACTTATTATAAAGTTATTTAAAATTAATATCATTTTCTGTCTTTCATATTAAAAAAGTCGGCTCGCGAGCCAGCTCAAACTCATAGACTTAAGCTAGAGCTCGAGCTCGAGCTCGATAAAATTAATTAAGCTCAAGCTCAAGCAGAGCGCGGCTCAAGCTCTGCTTGACTCGTTTACACCCCTCGTACCAATCCTATGACACTCACTTCTTTTGATCCTTCAAATTCATGGATCATTGATTTAGGTGCCACAGACCATATGACTAAATTCTCTTTCTCGACATATTATTCTTGCTCAGAGAAAAATACTGTTAAAATATTAATGGGTCCCAAAGTTTCATTGATGGCAAAGGATTTGCTATTTTAACAAGTCTAACTCTGAAATTAGTGTTATATGTACATTTGCTGAAATATAACATTTTATCTGTCAATAAACAGACATACAACATGGATTGCATTGCTTATTTTTCCTCTGATGTCCGTGTCTTTCGGGATCATCGTTCGAGGAGGATGATTGAAACTACTAAGCGTGTTTGTGGGCTCAACTTCTTCCAAGAGAAAAACACGAAGAATGTGGACATTCCACCCAGTAGATGCAATTTATCTGAGTCAATTGAATGTCCTATTATGTTGGTACACTATCATTTGGGTCATCCTAATTTTCAATACTTAAAGTAATAGTATCTGTTGATGCTTACTAATAAAAATCATTCTAGTTTTAAATGTAGAATCCGTTAGTTAGATAAACATCATCGCGTTTCTTATCCACTCCACAATTAAACCTTCTACTCATTTCTCTCTTATTCACAGTGACTTATGAGGACTTTCTTGTAGTCCTAACTACACCAATAAATGATGGTTCTTTATTTTGATTGATGACCATACTTGAATTATATGAGTCTATATTTTAAAACATAAATTTGAAGTTGTCATCACTTTCAAAAACTTTAACACCTTCATTTTGACTAAAATCAAAACTCTTATTCAAGTCCTCTGAACTGACAATGGTCGTGAATTTTTAAACTCTATATTAAAAGAATTATTGGTAAAAGCATCATCCATCATAGCTCTTGTACCAACACTCCTCAACAAAATGGGGTAGCAGAGAGAAAAAATCGACATCTCCTCGATGTTACTCGCTCTATTATGTTTCATTCTGATGCCTCAAAACATTTCCGGAATGATTTCATTCTTATTGCCACTTATCTCATCAGTAGAGTTGCCTAAAAAATTCACACCTTTCATACCCCTTTTGTCATCTTGAGATCGTGTTTTCCTAACAATTGAGTCTACTCCACTTGAAATTTCAAAATTTTGTGGGTGCACAACTTTATTCGGAACACAGCCCCAACTCGGAGCAAACTTGATTTCAGGTCTATAAAATGTGTTTTCCTAGGATATTCTGTCACTCAAAAGAGGTATCGGTGTCTTGACCCTACCACGAATAAGGTTTATGTGAGTGTCAATGCTTTTTTTTTTTAAGTATTCTCTACTTTCCAACCTCAACCTCTAGTGATGAGGAGCTAGAGTTCTTAGACACTCACTCTTCCTCACCCAACCCCTGTAGATGTTCCCCCACGTCACCTATCATGGAGGAACCCTTCATTCCTTTGGTTCCACTTACTTCTCCTACCACCAAGAAGCCCTTTGTCCCTTTGATTCCACCAAAACATCCTCCAACTCTTCGTGTCTACACCCGACACACTCGTTCTGATACACCTACTCTGGAGCTCGCTAACCACTTGATGGACCCTGAATCTCCTACAAACAACATCCCAAGCACTACTACTCCAAATGAGGCAAGTTCCTTTAATAAAGTATGAAATCAAACATGCTCTCTTTAATGATGTGTGAAAAGATTGCATGAA